CACGGCCCGGAATATATAGGTGTGTTGAGTTTCAGCGAGGCGCAGGCCATTCAGGCCAACAAATATGCCACTGTAGGAAGCTTGTAGCAAAGATTGTAAGTAAATATAATTTGATACATGTCGATATATGACATGGCGAGATCATTAGGTCATTTTTGATGTACAAGAAGAACTCATCATTCTTGTGTTTGGATGCACAGAATCCATTTTCGAATGTCTGTAGGACCCCATTTATAAAAAAACATACACCTGAGCTTCAATACTTGGAAAGAACCTCACACTCAAATCACATTTGCATGAATCCTAAAACGTAAATTCTCACTGAATGTACATGTACAGGGGCATTATACACACATATATCTCTTAAGAGTATGTATACACCCTCATACTGAACACAACACGCTTGTGATACCAATGGCTTCACCACGCACTAAGGTCGTGCTCACGTGGCGCTATTCTCGGAGATTCACTGATCGCGCACCCGTTTTCGCATTCAACCACTGATATGCATACGCGCCCTTAATATATTGCACATGCGACAGTACTATCTTATGGTTGAAGTGATTGAAGCGTCGTCAGAAACTCTCAGGAAGAGTATGCAGAAGGCTAAAGATCTTGATCAGGTACACAAAGTACATATGGCATATATATATATTGAACAACTACATGCATGTATTTTGTGCGAGTGGGTGTGGTTGTAACCCGTATCCATGTCTGCATAGTATGGTGACATGGGCACACTATAAATTGCGGTGAAAAGTCGAGATAACATCTGCGCACTACTGTAAGGAGTGCGTAGGCTAGCAAGAGCAATCACATGTTAAAATCAAGCATGCAATGTTTCAGAAGTTGTACATTGGTGCTACCATACTATTCTTGTACATTTTACATGCTTTTGTTGTTGTTGTTTTTGGCAATATCTACATGTTATATGCGATACATCGTCAAGGATACTTATTTATCTTGTACACAAAACTTCTTAGGTTTTGCGTAAATGTGTATACATTTTCTCATACATCATGTGTATGTGTTTATGATTTAAAGGAAGTACATAATCCTCCTTCCAAAGAAATGCTATACTGGGTCCAATCTCGTAGCTGACAAAATAAATTGATCTGGCAGCATGTTGCTTCTTATGCCGTTGTATAAGTATGCTCTGCAGTATAGTACATGACGAGTATCGTGGGACTACATCTGTGGGTTAAACATTCATTGTTATGAAGGCATCTAAACTGTCCATTCATTTATTTATTTATTTATTTTATTTGGTTCCTGATATTGAAATTCGAAAGCAAATACATAAACACATATACCTACTCGCATATGTGTTGTGAATATATAATCCTGCTACACACATGTACCTCTCTGTTTTACCTCCACGTGCTTTGCTAAACGTTTGTATGCATTAGAATTACCTGAATTACTGGCAACTAGATGTATGGTTATGAAACTAGTAGCCCGTTCGCCATTTGCGGCAAGTGTGCTCGTATTTCCGCGGCAAAGCATAGTCTTCTGTCCTCCCTCACGACTCGCAATCGTTTGAGACTCGATCCCGCAATTCTGCTTGGAGTGTATCTCTGCCCTAGTATTAGAGACTTATTCTGGCTGGTATTGGGAAAATGCACTGTTCTTTATTAGGAATATCCTCTCACTTCGTCAGGTTATCGATGCGCACAACAAGTTTCTCTCCGAGGTAGTCACGAACTCACTGCTGGGCGATGTCACCTCAGAACTGTTTGCCATGATAAAGGTAACAGACTGGTGGACTATTCATATGTATGAATGCAAGCTTAGTCGAGTGTTTACACACAGACATACATGGTTTTTCCATATTTGCTTCAGTGTAAAGATAGTTAATTGGGATGGTTTAGCTTCAATGTAAAGGTAGCTAATTGGGGTGGTGGCATGATCTCCAATTTCTATGTGCTTTGTACGTGTGAAATGTGCATACTTACTCGTTACCACGTATTCAGGGGGTTGGCAGCAAAAGGATCTTTACCCAGATCATTTGGGAGTAGGTCAACGCCGCTATGCTGCAACACGTGTACACATAGCCTGCTACAGCACCGACATTCCTAATCTTTCGTTGATAATTCATTATGAACTGTGTAGTTTGTAATTCTTTGTACACCCAAAAAAAATGTACATTATCACTACAGACGATAGCGGGTAATATCCTAGGCTTCTGCCAGTTCCTCGAGAACTTCAGAGCCGTCGCCACACAAGAACATACCACGCGACAACAAGCTGAGACCGACCGAATCGAGCGAGGCAGCCGTGGGTGAGTGGTCATACTAAGTATTGTACAAAAATCACTCTTATATGTGTTATAGGGAGTGGTCACACTTAGTCGAGAACGAGAACCACAAGTATTTGTGATAAGAGAGATGGTCACACTTAGTTAAGTACGAAACTCGCACTTGTATTTGGTATAAGGAGCGGTCACTCTTAAATATCGAAAATCACAATTGGATTTGGTATAAGGAGCGGTCACTCTTAAATATCGAAAATCACAATTGGATTTGCTATAAGGAGAATAGTCACTCGTAGTTAAGTACGAATACCACACTTGTATTTATTTTTTCTAAGGGGAGCGGTCACTCTTCGTTAAGTACGAAAATCACGCTATATTTGTTACAGGGGAAGCTGTCACTATTTGTACGAAAAGCAGCATAGGGGAATTTGTCACTCTTTGTATAGAGGGGGGGGGGGTCATCAAGTTACATGATAATTATTCATTGGCAACTGTAAATAGGCCTACTTGACCAGTCAGATCGAGGATCCCGCATTCAAATATATAGATCGTTCTGCTTGCGATTAGCGTATCTTCGTTAAATGTCTTTCTTCGTGTCCTTCATTTCCCTTTGGCCGTATTCTCTGACTTGTGTTGATATATATTGTGTAATTTAAATACTGTTCGTGTCAACTGGTGTCGTTGGACTTGTAAGGGCGTGTAAACATGTTCTGCCGCGTGCTTCATTCATATGCTTGAGTGGTCGTATTCCTTAACTTGTTCATCTATATAGTCTCTCATGCGGCTGGAAGTGGTTTCATTCTTCGGGATTGCACAATGTACCATGAAGGAGATCGCTTTGATATCAGACTCCAAATTAATTTTCATACCAAGTCTGTCATGGGAGATGCTCCAGTATGCTTTCAACTCCCAACCATCAAAAGTTTTGACTCAGCACCCGTGTTAAGAATATACTCGCTCCACTTCCGAATGGATTTCTATCTCTGTTTCGTACTGGAATCTCCACGACTCCAGCTCTCCCCTACTTTGCTCTGTACTTTTTGGCTAAAGTAGGCGACGTCTCATGGATCGTCTCTATTCATAATGGGTGCTCTTGCGTGTATATGCACGAACACAATTATTCATTGCAGACCATTACCATTTATAATATACGCATATGTATATACACTCGCACATATAGATCTCTGTGCTTGATATAACTGTATGAATTAGACGTTCAACTCGTAGCCTCCTGTCATTTTATTTCTCAGCGAATGGGCCACGTCACGCAAAGACACCGCTGCCGAAGAGGAAAAAATGGCCGTGTTTAGTCAGGACATTAAGCGATTCAGTTCAAAAGTCAGTCGATTCAACAACAACTTCAGGAGCCGTGCTAAGGTATATCACACAACCAGTGTGCACCTCATGTATTACCCACAACAATTTTTGCCCGTAGAGGCGTGTATAATGATGGGATGGATTGCTTATTGAAACATTCTGATATCAACCCGACGAAAAATGACTTCGGATTTTAAATTTCACCATGTTTTTGGGTTCTCACTTGCGAGTCTGTAGTACAGTGCGCACCCGTTTTCAAACTTACCTTGTCATCACACTACCACTCTCACACTTCTGGCCAATTTTACTTGTTCCTCTCAGATTTTAGTGGAATTGCTGAACGAGAGTCAGTCGCCCAGCATGCGCAGCCTTGCCACCCGTCTAGATTTCTCTGGGTACTTCTCATCGGTCAAACAGTCGGCTGACGGCTTCCAGAGCTATAGTGATGCTCAATAAGCAAATCATAGTCACTGAATTAAAATTCCTCAAGAGTGTTCTGAAACATTCAAAAAAAAAAAGAGTATACGCAGGATAGAAAATAGCTAGCTCAAGAGTGGTATACATCGCATTCCAACATGAATACATGTCTGAGGATACGATGATTTTGAACCAGCTCGGTGTTTCCATCGCTACTTCAGCGCAGCCGGTGTTAGTCGTGTTGCCTTCTACCACTGTCAGAGAGTGCAAATGTGTTATATGCTTGAGCCCTATATAACTACTAAAAAAGCATCCTGTATACTTGTTCAATTCAATATTAATATTTAATGAGTGTGGTGTCGACGCAACCGTCGGTGTAAACTACTAGATTGTCATGCCTCATTTTCCTTATATCTGAAAGTAAAGATGCAGCATTCATGGTGGAGTCCTACGTATAAATATCATTAAAAACCATAACTGTATGTGTGTACATACACGCAATACTAGTTCCACCCCACTGAATACCCCACCATCGATCGTTACAGGTATATTACACCATCCATCCCTTCAATGTTGATATGTGTGGAGGCTTGCCAGAAATAAAGCCTAAATGTTATACTGGCTCGATTTGCCAAAGTTTTAACTTTGAAAGTCAAATTGTTTGGTTGGAGCAGCTCACGCAGCCATGCGGTTAGACGGTTCTGCTATTCCGAACGCTACTACATATGTCATGACTCACTACATACCTTTGCATTCTGTTCATAGACTAAAAATGTGCAACTCGCATACCAATCGGTACGACTCAAACACCAATCTATTACTATATTGTAGTTCGTTTGTATAAGCATCACCTCGTACGAGTCAGAACGTTTTCCGGCAAGATAACTTAGGTATGTCCATAGTTGTTGGACAAGTGGCACTGAGTGCAGTATAGTAAAATTGTCGGTTGGTCACTTTTCGCTTTCGAGCTAACCTTAAGTCAGGTGACTAGGTTTATAACCAATTGTATCAGATCATTTCGAACAATAATTCTACTGTCCAATTAACGCTGACCACAGCCCAACATCGATATTTGGAACATGAATTTACTCTCGGAATTTAGTATTTGATCTGTACCGATTGACTTCAGTGATACACAGATATAGTGATATATCGTATTTTAGTTTTTACTCGGAAGCAAATCAAGCAATTTCAGTGAATCTCATCCCATCCAATCGGATTTTGACGTTCTCTCGCAGTTGAAGTTCGTGACTTCAGCCTTTAGGCCCAGGGTAGGCCTCCCGCCTCCCTGATGCAGTGATGCCACACCTCATCTCTTTCGTCACTCGTGACTCGTCAACAGTCTTCCTGGACGAACCGAGTGGAAAAGCCGAAAAGGCCTAATACATACTTCGCTTCTACTAAATGTGAATTCATGCCCACGGCCCCACCCCACCCCCCGAATTCGCTCCTCTATTAATCTCGTGGCTAGTGCCCACTGATCTATTTAATGCGTAGTGTTGTTGGATCCGTACTTCCCTATCACTGCTGATAGCGATTTCTAATCATATTTTATATAAACCTGAATCGTGATTTGACATTATCTCAAAACTAAAACAGTGACATATTCAACTGAAAATATAATCGATAATCAACATGGCATTATATACAGCGGATTATAACTTACTTCGTAAACTGAGTGTAGTTTCCAACGATACGCTTTCTGTCTCAGACCGAGGGAGTACGACGGCTCCCAGTTTGATTTCTGAGAGTAGCTGCTTGTCGCAGGTCTGTAAAGTGCATTCTGGATACATGATTATGTATAAAGTGTCGTCAAACTTATTGCGTCAGTGGAGGAGAAAGCCTATATGGGTTTCACTTACACAAGGAAAGAAGCTCGTTCTGTCGAAGCGTGGAACGAACGGCAAATATAAAGGGACTCCGAAGATTTTCGACCTTTCCGACTACAACAAATGCGAGTTTGTGGGTGAATCTCAAGAATTGATAACCATATACAACACCAACCGATACAGGAGTATAGACTCCATTTTGCTTGTTGCGCCTGGTGTAGAAGAAGCGCAAGAATGGGTGGATCTAATAAATTATAATATAGGCGTGGAATGTCCGGAAGATAGTGTACGAAATGCCACCGATGATGCTGAAGGGGTTCGAATTCCGGATATTCGGGTTGCAGTTTGTTTCTGATACGACGTCAACAATAATACTCTTAACCGAAATATACCTGACCTACCACCATAGCCCTGCCGATGACATTTGCTCTTGATAATCCGCCGATGTGCGATGAATCATGTGCTGTGTTATATAGCACTGATGTGCTTATAAACTAAACCGCGTGAAATACGCAGTGGTAAGCGATATGGTATCACTGACACGATACGTTGTCACCAATAGTTTATCAGGAGTAAATATCCCTGGATTTATAGACGGTGCATCTATCTCAAATATACCTTTGCGTGACAAAATAATAACAGAGAGTGGAAAGTTGTAGTGTGCAGTTGTCTGATTACAGTTCGCATAATCTGCTTCAGGATACATACTGCCTAGTTCGCAATCTTTTCAATAAATCCTATTGACTGTGAATATTAATCGGGGAAATGATGCCCTTTATTATGTTCAATTCACTTCACTATTATAATTTGTATCTGGCCCGGCAATCTAATGCGACCCGGCCCACATTCATTCAAACCCCATTGACCTGTGCTGGAGCATTGTACACCCAACCGTCAGAGTGTCGTTGCTTTTGTATGCAGCTTTCTTTTATCTTCGTGCCTATAAGGTTAAGTGAGCTTAATAACACAGCTTGTTTGTCTTGATATCATATCAGACAGTTTGTATCGACAACAATACATACGTTGATAGATCACATGCACAACTCCTACTAGCGCGCCTGGACTATTCAGACTCTGGCAATTCAGCAATCATTGTACAAACGAGATCACTCACAATAAAAATTGAATTGCATATGCGGTTACAGCGATAGCAAATGTGTGCAAAAGGGTACTACTAGTGTGCAGCTTCATAGTAGTTTTCCCTCGCGCTCTAGATAACTTCACAGGACGAAATCGAGGTAAAGGCATATATTTTCATGACACCATCTGATATCCCAGAGGAATCAAAGTATCATGTCCCTAAGGTTCGCTCAGTGGCACATTCAAAGCAATTAGCCCAGTAGAAAGATCGGGTGCTGGTACCGATTTAAATTTTTATTTACATTCGCCCGATATCTTCAATGCACGTCTATCATCGCGCTATATATAGCTGTGTCGGCATAATAACCGTCTTGTCACGTACACTCTACAAAATAATCACGCCAAATTTATACGATTTATACGTACAAATCCACTCCAACTTCTGACGCATTACAATTTGACTCCATGCTTCTACAATCAAGCGACACTTTCACAAAAATTCACACGAGGACAGCGCCCACATGTCGACGTGGAAGACGACAACTAACTTTAGTTATCAAGTACATAAGGTTGACTATTGAATAAGTCCGGTCAGTTAGTGCGGTATATGAATGGTAAAACGCACACAAACGCCGTTGTCGGGTATCAATTAAACACCAGCTGTCCGATATTACTAAAACTCCTGCTACCCGATATATTTAAATAAATAAAGGCCAATGAAAAATAACTTAACAAACAAAATCCTAGTGACGTCTGATACGCATGGAATGCAACAACGTTGAAACACATCCATCAACAAAATTTTTCACAAGCAATGTGTACTCTCCGATCAAGATATATACATCTACTAATATGCGCAAATACGAAGAAAAAAAATTATCTAAGGAAACGTATATGCATACATATACATATACGTACTTACATATACATATACCTACAAATATCCACATTCATACGTGTATTAGCAAAAACGTGTATGTACCATGTATATACGTATGTGTAAACGCATATATATATATATATATATATATATTCATACATATGTATGGATAACGATAAATACAACTGTTTTTACTTCTATATATATATGTGTGTGTGTGTGTGTGTATACATACATACACATATGTCCACTCGTATAAATATACATACATACATCTGGTGTATCTATACATGTATATAGTTATATATATATATATATACATCTGCATATATATATATATATATATATATATATATATGTATATATATGTGTGTGTGTGTGTGTTGAATATATATATATATATATATATATATATATATATACATGTATACATACACGTATGTATAGTGTGTATGTGCGTATATATATATATGTATATATTCACATAAAAATGTATTTATACATATATATATATATATGTATATATACATATATACATATATATATATATATGTATATATACATATATATATATGCATGTATGTAGGTATACATGTATATATATATATATATATATATATATATATATACATATATATGCGTGATACTCCATGAGGATAATTGTAACTCCATATGTGCTTAAAAATATATTGAATGATGCATGATTGTACGTGGACATGTATATGAACATAAATATGAATACTACTATCCATATGCCTATGATAAACAGACAACAACACTAATAAGTTTCTGACCACTAGAAATTGCTCAAACATTGAAACAATCCCTCTTACTGTGTAGTGAATTTTGATCACCAACATCCTGAAATTTACCCAAGGTATTGTACTTTACACAAATAGGCACATATACACTTTAGTATATTGATTTTAAATACACTTAACACTTGACAGTGGTAGGGCGAGAAGCCTGGAAAGTGCTTCGGAACTCCTTGGGACCTCTGTGGATACGGTGGGGAAGAGGGAAGCGAATGTGCTTGTCGTGGAACTGCTTGACATCAGCACGGCGACACTTCTTTCCTGAGATCGCTGCGATCTTGATGATCTGCAGAGACTCGCCACGGCAACGATGCTTGGCGGCCATATCCTATATAAACCGACGATGCACAATATGCGTGAGTATACCTTCATAAAAACAAACTCGAACACGACTTGTAGACCCGTACAAGGCAATGACTACTTGCGTAACATCCACTTGTTATAAAAATCACTTATGCGCGCCCAAAGTGCAACAGGAGCAACCGTGCAGAAATATAAAGGTCGGCGTGAATATTAGTTGATCGTGCAAAACGGTGTGTATCACATACGAAGATATTTGAATGAACTTATTGTGGAGAAGCAAGGGGAACAAACTGTAAACACGAATACCAACTATTAATGAAGCCTCAAGGTACAGTTATCAGCATATGTTTGCTCTGATCAGGTCTGTGTATTGAACTCTCATTGGCTTCTCGGTGTATGCAGCGCTACACACTCACAATAGAAATATAACATACACGTACACGTTGCGAAGTGGTATACACATTGCATCTAGGATAGAAACTGAAAATTAATATTCATTAATTCATCGAGATTTGCCTTATACACATTGCGAGGACATACAATACCCACAATTTAGGTGACATAGAAAGTAGAACATCTTAAAGCCTCGCTGTGCTGAGGAACTCTAATTCCTGCCACTCGCAATCATATTTAAAAGTAAACTAGAAAACTTGGGTATATTCAGCATCAGACAATAAATTGAGCATACCTGGTACAAGTGGGCAACGGCTCCGGTGACGGAGGTATCACGGTACTCCTTGTACATGTTGTGGGTACCAGTTCGTGAATCGTAACGAAGCCAAACACCGAAGTTCTTGACAACCTGTCCGTTCTTCTCAGCGATCTCATTGCATGAGATAACCTCACCGTGCACCTTCTTGACCTTCTTTAGCTTGTCAAGGAAGTACCAGAAACGACTACGAGCGTGCACGGCATTGGGAGCGAACACACGCATTCTGTAGATGTGAGGAACGGGGTAACGTTCCGACGGGTACATACGTCCCGCGACCTGGTACTCGCGAATCTATAATGAAATATACTTAAGTGTTAGTTTTTGATTTAACTTTAACTCAGCTATTTGCGTTATCTTGGCGGTACGAACCACATGCATAACTAAACCGTGACCCTGTCAGAAGGTTTCGGATTTTTGTGCCACTTTTGAAAACTTGACATTGAAGATGGTATACACATATGCATTACGCTTCAGCACCGACATACAAGCGAGTATTCGAGGCATAAATATAGAAGCTGACCAAGTGGTAGCCGTGTTTAAGGTGCCCGCCTGCAGTGAATGTATATGACACATATCCGGCGCAACAGCGTATATAATACTATGCTTACATAGGTTCACTAAATGTGTAATTGCTATTGACCTCACTATGTATTATATCTTGTGTATTTGTAATACTCCTCCCAGTAGCAGGTGCCTAAATTCACACGTTAGCTTGGAACTTCATGTGTTCTGTTGTTGTTGTTGTTGTTGTTGTTGTTGATTACAATTTTTGTTGATATGATTGCTGTTGTTTGACGACTTGTCCATGATATTTCGGAGACGATGCATTTCATCATTTTCGCAATCTACTATATGATGTTGCCTCCGTGATCATCAACGCACATGCATACACACAAGATTCCTGCACACGTACGCACGAGAAAACGTACTGTTTCAGTCTCATCGTCCTATCTCTACTTCTATTTTGGGTTTCGTATTCGCACGCTATGACTCTTGTGTATATACACATACTATGAGCATATTGATTACCTGCTTAGACAAAGGCATTTTGGGGCAAACTAGAAGAGATCGACGCTAGACCTCACAAACTACTAGTATATACGAAAAAGAATATGTGAATTGTACTGTTCTGGTGTTTTACAATGCGCGTGTGATCCTGACTACCAACACATGTCTGATAGGGGATAAACGCTCAGTCAAAATTTTAATTTGCGATGTTTCAAAATATGACTTCGATGCAAATTCTAATATTTAACGCTAGTTTCGGGTATGATATTGTAGGTACCTCAGGTCAAACTCAGAATGATCCAAAATCCTCACTTTGGAATCGTATTTTACAACATGATTTCCAAGTGATATCATGTTTCAAATTCATTTTTTGGTTTCAGGGATAGGTTTCACTGGAAATGGTTTTTCTCAGCGGAAAGCCGGAAAGCCGGAAAGCCGGTCACGGCCCACGGGTTATGTACCTTATTTTCAGAAACCACACACGATTAAAAAACTGCAAATGCCAGTCACCAGTGTCAGTGCGTCTATTTAACCTCTATACGTTTTGCGTTTTAAAAACGTATTAAAAACGTATAAACTTTAAATATATATAAGCTAACGTTAAACGTTTATATCGGGATGGCCCTATTGTTTTCTCTATAGGTGTATTTTCCGAGCCCTTAGGTTCAATGATCTCAGAGATTGTTCCTTTAGATATTCGATTAATTCGCGAAATGATCGATTTTTTCTACAGAATATTATCCTTTATAGACGCGAGATTTTAGAGTTTATAAATTAAATAAAAACGCGTCTCAATCAAATAATTAAAGCGTTTACAACTTTACATTCACGTTATTTTCAGGCGGGAAAAACAATAGCTTTCTTCGTATCCTTCTAAAATACACACTTTTTAGAGGGCTATGCTTTCTTCTTAATTCGAATAAGCCAGACAATAGACATCCTTTGAAATCTATTTTTTAGATGCTTAGAATTTAGGGTCTAGGGTTATATGAGCTCGGGACACAATACTAGAAATACATCCCTAATCGCACTACAATCGCACTACAACCTACACACGTGTATGTGTGTCTTACTACATATTGTGCCACCTTCCTATATACAACATACTACATACTACATATGCATCATCGCACTATATTTTTATCTATGGACCCGGCTTTGACTGAGTACGTAGGATTTCGACCATGCTTATATTATGGTGTAGTACAATTGCTCCATGCACGGAGTGACGTTATTGTGATGCATCTTGTAAATAGTGTCACACAGATTGTTATATAGCTCTAGATTGCAGTTATAAAGAATGAATCATTTACTTGCCATGTTAGAGGATTCAACAGTTGTGCTCTAGCATTTCTATCCTCCATGTCGACCTTGGAGTCTAGAGTACAATCCAAGCTTCAGAAAATAATTACATGTATCTGCAATAGCCGGGCCTCCACATTAGACTCTATGTTATAAACGTACTCTTAATAGTACGAGGAACTTAAGATTCCTAAATTGTTTTTAACGGTTTTATTGATTAATACCTTTTCCATTTTACAGTCTCCTAGTTTGCCTTTATGACATCTTTGGTGTTTGCCAATCTAACAGGTGTTCCACCTTACCTGGGTCGATTTTAATACCTTCCTTAGATATATGGTAGCCTAAGAGCTGTATTTCGCTCATTGCGAAGTGGCATTTCTTCTCGTTAATCTTGAAGTTTTGCTCGTTGAGTCTCTTAAGGACTCGTCTGACTAATGCGGCGTGTTCGCCCCTAGTTTTGGAAAAGATGATTATGTCATCTATATAGACTTGCACGTTAGGCATGTCTTCTGCAAACATTTCCTCCATTACTTGTTGGAAGAATGATGGTAAAGAGTGTAATCCGAAAGGTGCACCTCTAAACCTGTATTGTTTCCCTTTCGAGGTAAAACTAAAGTACTTACGATGGGGTTCATAAAATTGTATTTGATGATACCCCTGTGTTAGGTCTATGGATGTATGTAATAGCCGGGCCTCCACATTAGACTCTATGTTATAAACGTACTCTTGAGCAGTACGTAAACTATAAACGTACTCTTAATAGTACGAGGAACTTAAGATTCCTAAATTGTTTTTAACGGTTTTATTAATTAATACCTTTTCCATTTTACATATCAGATATTTGGACAAGGCCATTAAAAAGCCCCATTAAAATACCAAACATAATATTTGACCTAGTTCTATTAGTAGAACTATATTTACTTTCCAAATCTATTTATATCTGAATACTTCGGTAACGAGATGGCTCAACCGAACATAGGTTTCTAAGGACTATTAGCGTTGCTTAGTTTAACCTCCGTTCAGCCAACCAGATGTGCCAGTCTGATGAAGACTCAGTCGGTAATACTTGATAAGTTGCAAATTGGTTAATGCAATAACCATGGACATCAGGAGTATTTTTCTTTTTCTTTTTCTTTTTTTATCTAAAGATAGGATTTTGTGAGTCTCTCTGATTCGCCCCAACGAAACATACCACTGTTTCTAATAGAGCGACAACGAAACACTAAATAAAATCCTCTCGGCGAAAACAGTACTGAGAGGATTATATATAGGCAATGTCTCAGCCTCACAATCCCTCAGAGTATTGCTGTTTTCACGAGGCATATCTAACTTTACTAAAAGACTCATTTCGTTTATTTATTTCGAATTTAACTATACTTAGACTTAACCTAATCGTTCAATTACTCTAAGGCGTTAATATCGCCTTGATAGACCGAAACTTACATATCTTTCGTTTTAAGTGCGGGTACTGGTCCAATATTTGTCGTTTTCACAATGTTGTAGCATCATCTTCTAGAGGGGTTTTTTCTTGTCGCCCGTCCACTTTTCTGTGATATCTTGATCTTGAGTAGTATTTTGTGTCTGTGTTGTACAACCACAGACGTAGTTGTTAGATTTTTGTTTTTATTGTTCGTATCTCTACTGAGTGTTGTACCGGTTGATGCTTCTCATTATGTTTGCAATAGAGTAAGCATCATGAGTGACAGATTGTTGCAAGTATGCAGTATTAAGTAGTGTGATGTTGAAGAATGACTGTTGATAGTTTGATATCTGTTTGTTGCACACTTATTGCATACATGTATCCCTCAATCATGAAATGTTAGCGACATGTATCAATTCGGTCTTCATAACATACCTGATTGTACCCTGTCTATCAGATCTACTGGCGCATATTAAATATCTGAATCTTTTTAATACAACTTTACTTTGTGTTTTACAATCTAGTCAATAGTATGCAACATCAGGCCTAACATTATTACAGCTAGATATATATATATATATATATATATATATATCCAGATCAAGTCATTACAATTGCGCGCATAAATCAAGCTAAATATATATTCTACAACCATTTTATCTTTGTCGTTTAGCCCCTTTCCCATACAAAAAAGGGCTGTTGTGTGCAAGCAATAGAAGTACTTTTTTTTGGTGTGTTTTCACATACAAAGTAAATACCCAGACATGTATAGCAAAGTCTTGTCGTTGGCCAATTTTGTAACTAGTTGTGGTCCATACTGTTGTATTCTGTATGAGTGATTCGAAAAAACGTTTGAATCTTTCAATTATCTGTATACGACACATACAGCCTATGGACACAAAAGTACCGTAGACGGAGATTTAGTACCGGACCAAAGTACCGGGTCTATATAAGTGTATAAACAACGGGGTTCATTATAAACGTATAAACGGTTCAGTGGTACATGGTTGTATGTAATATCGGGATACGTTGGAACGTAATTGTATCATGTATCTGTAAAATACAAAAAAAAAAATCAAATATTCGCATGACCCTCTCCAGAAGATTAAAATTATGCCTGATCGAACTATTGTTTTAGTATTGGTTTTGCCATGGCGGCTATATAGTGTGTTGGTGATGCGAATTCACAGCTGACTCGCTCCCTCTATAGAGAAACATACCTTGAGCAGGCGAGTCTGAGGGTGACACACTTGATATACAAACCACGTTTCGAGCGCAAAAGAGATCATTCAAATTCTTACGCGCACAAGATTACACGAAACGAAAAAGAACAACTTGAGTTAAGTAAATATCATGGCTCCACCTACCTTATATGAATTAGGTGAATACTCCGTTCTCGCTAAAGAAGACGCTCTTATGTTCTTCGAGGATGAACGTATTCCTCTTTACAACAACACCGAACAACACGAATAGTCCAGTATACTCTACTACAATTGTATATGAAAGGAATGACACATATCCAATATGGGTACGTAGCAAATCTTACTTCGAGTCCTGTATTAGAAAGTATTCGTATCTCTTATGACCTCTATGATTACAAACTAGTACATTTTGACTTGAAAGCTGTAGCAAACCAGTTAGAATCTTAAGCCGACTCATTGTCAAAGCTCTCTGCAGACTACGACGAGATAAATAAGGGTAGTATACATGTTGCTTTGGTACAGTACTGTCTCACTAGCGCCTAAGTTAGTCGCGACTGTATACCTGAACTACATTCCTTGGCGGAACAATTCCGGATTGCCAACACTCAGGCCAGAGGATGTAGATATCAAGGCCGAACATATCTGGTCAGCAACTTTACAGTAGCACGCCCGGGGTATATAAATTCTTCCGATAAGATAACAAACATTTGTCTTTGCCGGCAAGTAAACAATTCTATATTATAACAAACTTAATGGTCGATTCCCGACTTTTAAAGTTACGATTGGCGAACAAAGGCCTCAACAAATTCTTTATTGAGAACTGTGG